TACATGTTGGGGGCGCCAAACGGCAAATCTAGCTGAGACGTCCCACCAACATCGGCGCGAACGGGCTCGTGAGATCAGCCAGGGTGGCTCCCCCTTGGGGCTCCCAAATGATGCCCCTGGCAGCGTTTTGTGACCATGGGGCTCTCAAGAGACACATGTTGGGGAGGCCAAACGGCAATTCTAGCTGAGGCGTCCCACCAAAATCGGCGCGAACGGGCTCGTGAGATCAGCCAGGGTGGCTCCCCCTTGGGGCTCCCAAATGATGCTCCTGGCAGCGTTTTGTGACCATGAGGCTCTCAAGAGATGCATGTTGGGGGCGCCAAACGGCAATTCTAGCTGAGACGTCCCACCAACATCGGCGCGAACGGGCTCGTGAGATCAGCCAGGGTGGCTCCCCCTTGGGGCTCCCAAATGATGCCCCTGGCAGCGTTTTGTGACCATGAGGCTCTCAAGAGAGACATGTTGGGGAGGCCAAACGGCAATTTAGCTGAGACGTCCCACCAAAATCGGCGCGAACGGGCTCGTGAGATCAGCCAGGGTGGCTCCCCCTTGGGGCTCCCAAATGATGCCCCTGGCAGCGTTTTGTGACCATGAGGCTCTCAAGAGATACATGTTTGGGGCGCCAAACGGCAATTCTAGCTGAGACGTCCCACCAACATCGGCGCGAACGGGCTCGTGAGATCAGCCAGGGTGGCTCCCCCTTGGGGCTCCCAAATGATGCCCCTGGCAGCGTTTTGTGACATGAGGCTCTCAAGAGAGACATGTTGGGGAGGCCAAACGGCAATTTTAGCTGAGACGTCCCACCAAAATCGGCGCGAACGGGCTCGTGAGATCAGCCAGGGTGGCTCCCCCTTAGGGCTCCCAAATGATGCCCCTGGCAGCGTTTTGCGACCATGAGGCTCTCAAGAGAGACATGTTGGGGAGGCCAAACGGCAATTTTAGCTGAGACGTCCCACCAAAATCGGCGCGACCGGGCTCGTGAGATCAGCCAGGGTGGCTCCCCCTTGGGGCTCCCAAATGATGCCCCTGGCAGCGTTTTGCGACCATGAGGCTCTCAAGAGCTACATGTTGGGGGCGCCAAACGGCAATTCTAGCTGAGACGTCCCACCAAAATCGGCGCGAACGGGCTCGTGAGATCAGCCAGGGTGGCTCCCCCTTGGGGCTCCCAAATGATGCCCCTGGCAGCGTTTTGTGATCATGAGAGAGTGTGAGTGTGAGCTTAACTTATCTTATCATATCTTGAAATCTCTTCTTATCATATCTTGTGCTATCTTATCTTATCTTGTAGTATATTATCTTGTCTTGTCTTATCTGGTGATTATCATCGGGAGGAGGGAGGCGCGAGCGGGAGGAAGAAGGAGGAGGAGGAGTGGGAGGCGTCAGAGTAATAACAAGAACCCCAATCCTTAGGATATGGGGAATAAGAAGAGACATAATCTGAAATTTGACGCGAACTCCCGCTGCAATCATCAAACAAAGGACCGTCAAAATTCAGGACAAGCTCTTCCAAAAGTGTCGGCAAACCCGAACTCCGGCGTATTCGAGAGTCTTACCTCTCCTCGCTCCTCCTCCTCCTCCTCCTCCTCATCCTACTCCTCCTTCTCCTCCTCCTCTCCCGTCAGGGCATCGGAGAAGGGAGCGATGACACCACCCGAAGAGCACGGGGAAAAGAGAGAGAAAGAGAGAGAGAGAGAGAGCCGCGCGCCCCCGGGGACCTTCGAGGTGGCAGCCCGCGTCCTCGCCTGCGCCTCGGCGCTGACGACGAAGAGCGTGAGTCCTGCGCCCAACACGGGCAGAGCCACCTCTCGGGGGAGCCGGACACCACAAGCGGCAAACAGACTCCGAGTTTCTTAATTAGCGTCGGGGGGGAGTCACCCCCGTCGACAGCCCCACATCGACCCCCGTCGCGGGCAGCCACCGCGCGCCGAAGGCGCTCCGACCCCCGTCGCGGCGCTTGACGACGCGAGGTTGGCCCCCGTTTGGGGGAGGTACCCCCCCACGCTTATTAAAAAACTTGGAGTACGCGCGCCCGCGCCCTCGTGGTCTGGATTCTGGGGCGCGATCCCGCGGATACGCGGTCGTCGGTCGCACGGAGACGCTCCGAGCTGGGCATCCGCACCAAGTCCAGCGGGCGGTGGATATGTATCGGCTACACGTAAGGGCGACCCTTCGCTAGAGTGACCTGTGGTGCTGGCCCCGAGGGGGTCGTGTGATTTCTATTTTGGAGTTCGCTTGACCTCGCGTCGGCACCCGTATCGCACGATTGCGCTCGCACCTGAGCGCGCCAAGTTTGGGCCCTCCCCTTGCCATCGACATCAACGCATACGCGGCGCACCCTACAATGTGCAGTGGTTTCCCGACGGGGGTCTGGTCGACCGGACGGCGCGTTTTCCGACCCAGAATCAGTCCCGAATCCCAGCCCAAATCCCAACCACCACCATCACAACACACAACACACCAAGACCATCACCAGAACAACGCACGCACGTCCGCGACAAGAGCATCACTCCACTCCATAGACCCGCGCCATCTCAACAACCACCACCTACACGGCACCACCGATCCGCCTTGGGGGGATCATGGTGGGTACAAAGACCTATGTGTGTGTATATATATATATATATATATATACATCCATACATATGTATACACAAATGGGCACCAGGGTGCCCAAGCATAACCATATCCAGCGCCTGTCGAGGTCTCCAGGGATCGATCCTGCAAGGGGCGATTCTGTATAATTCATTCCCAGCCTCGGAGTGAGACTCGAATCTGGGAGACGCGAGTCTGCCGAATAGGAAAGCCAAACGAACACGCGCAAGCCGGTCAACACAGACCAGGCAGCAGGTTCGATGGGCAAATATTAAAACACACATACAGGCTCGGTGACTGGTCGGCGCCGCTTGGTGAAAAAGGTCGTATCAGGTCGTATGCGATCGCAGACATGCCGTCCAGGAGAGCGCGCGCACTCGTGGTTTTAAGCTCAGGGTTGAAAAAGCAATGTCGTAGCAGATCTGCTCCTCTTGGGTGCCCCTGGCAGGCCCAGGATCGGCACATCCAGGGCCCTGGCCGAGCCCGTCCTGGCCTGTCCAGTTACGGCCCGACCTATTGAGCAGGGACCGACCGTCCCGGCATTTCTATAGGCCTACCACGAAATTTTCTTAGAACCACAAGCGTGTTCTAATGTCAAAAGCAATGTTCTTATAACATAAGCCCAAGGTGTCTTTTTTCTTTTAAACAAACAAAAACAGCCCCAGCCAGAAATGTTCCAAAAACATTTCGTGGAAGCCACAAGAAGTTTTTTTGAACATTCTTAGGTAGGCCTATAACCACGCCAGGACGCTTCGCCACTGCGTGAACTAGGGCAGAAGAGCACCCTTGCAGAACACGAGACCCTCCGCTGGCCAAGCTCCAGAACATTCGAAGGTACCCTTCCCCAGGATGCACAAGAGCATCCGGCAGGCACGAAGAATACGTAGCACCCCCAATTGCGGATAAAAGTGAAGGGGCGGCGGGTACGTCGGTAGTCTGCGAGGCTCTGAAGAAGCCCGCCGCAGGCGCATACTTTTCAAGCTATATAACGAGCCTGCCTCAGGCGCCGACTTTTTGTTAACATAATGTGGGTGGGTCACGGGTTGGGTTGCAAATGGGTCGCGGGTGGGTCGACGGTGGGTCGCGGGTGGGTCGCGGGCCGGGTCGTGGGCCGGTCGCGGGTATAGAAGGCAGAAATTCCAACCCATAATAATCACCCCGACAAGCGAAACCGTTTAATAAACGCACACAAGGAATGATTCGAACAAGGCAGGGCTGTTTAGTCAACGCACAGGGCCGTTTAGTAAACGCCAGGTGTCGGGTCCGGGTGGTTTTTCCTCCATTGGGGGTGGGTCCCGGGGTGGGTCGCGGGTGGGTCGCGGGGTGGGTCGCGGGTGGGTCACGGAATGTGTCGCGGATGGATCGCGGGGTGGGTCGCGGGTGGGTCGCGGGGTGTGTCGCGGGTGTGTCGCGGGTGTGTCGCGGGTTGGTCGCGGGGTGGGTCGCGGGTGGGTCGCGGGTGGGTCGCGGGTGGGTCGCGGGTGGGTCGCGGGTGGGTCGCGGGCGGGTCGTGGGGTGGGTCCCTTTGGGGGGATTCATTGTCTTTGCGGGGGGCGGCAGACTTAGACAAGAGGGCAAACCTGAACGGGCGGACAATCCTTCGTGGGCGTACGTGCGCCCGTCATTGGAATTGGTGTGGGCCGTGCAAAAAGAGGAGGGGGATCGCGAGGGAGAGTGGGAGGAAGGGAGGGGGAGGGACGAAGGAAGAGGAAAAACGCAAGGAGAGAAGGAGCGAAGAGAAGAGAAGGAGAGAGAAAAAGAGAGATATATCTATACATAGAGAGAGAGAGAGAGAGAGAGAGAGAAAGAGAGAGAGAGAGAGAGAGAAAGAGAGAGAGAGAGAGAGAAAGAGAGCGAGCGAGAGAGAGAGAGAAAGAGACAGAGAGAGCGAGAGAGAGAGAGAGAGAGACAGAGAGAGAGAGAGAGACCAGCGCAAAAAGAGAACACAACCAAAACACATAAGAGAGGTAGAGAAAGAGAGAGAGAGAGAGAGAGAGATGGCAGAGAGAGAACAAAAAGAGGGAGTGAGGAGGCACGAGAGGGAAGGGAGAAGGGAGGAGGGAGGAGGGAGAAGGGATAGGGCAGAGAGGCATAAGGATGAGGGAAGAGAGGAGGGAGAGAAAAGGGAGGAGAGGAGGGAGGAGGGGGGAGGGAGAGGGAGGAGGAGCAGGAAGGTAAGAGCACGAAAATTCGAGGAATTCCTAAGCGAAAACGCCGTTCCTGAAGGAAACCGCGGGCGGGAACCCACGACGGGCGGGCGATCCCCTGACGGGCGGGTCGGGCGGGTGGGACATTCAAGCGGGATGCCTGAGTATGGCGAGAGCGCGACTACTAAGTAAATTGTAGCGGCGTCCTTGGCGCAGCGCATTTCCTGAGCGTCGGAAGCGCGACTTCTGAATAAATTGCACGGGGGTCACAAGCGAAAACGCAATTCCTGAATAACGTGTGAGGGGTTCTCTGGCGGGAGCGGGGGTCTTGATTCAATTGCGAGGAAGTCTTGGCTCAATTGCGGGGAAGTCTCAAGCGGGAGCGCCGTTCCTGAGTAACTTGTGAGCAGCTCGTGAGGAAGTCTAAGATGGGAGCGGGGGTCCTGATGTAATTGCGAGGAAGTCTCAACCGGGAACGCCGTTCCTGAGTTAATTGTGAGGAAGTCTCAGGAGCGGGGGTCCTGAAAAAATTTGAGAAAGTCTGACGCGGGAGCCGTTGTTGTTGTAATCCGGGGGGCCAAGGGCCCAGTTTGAGCACGAAGACTTTCCTTGTCAAAAAACAAGGTGCCAACGTCGAGAGGCACACTTTGATTGAGAAAAACAGCATGCACCGGTGATGGGGATATCAACAACAATTATTCTTCAGAAGTGAAAAGGTCAGCAACAGCAGCAACAATCATTCTAAGACTGTTCGCTCTTATATGCCCGTGTGCCATTCAAAACGAATTCCCCACAGCCTCGATACCCGCCCCGCCCTTTTTGTCTTCGATCACACCCCCTTTGGGGGGATTCTTTCTCTTTGCGGGGGGCGGCGGGCTTAGACAAGCGGGCAACATTGAACGGGCGAACGATCCTTCGTGGGCGTACATGTGCCCGTCATTGGAATTGGTGTGGGCCGTGCAAAAAGAGGAGGGGGATAGCGAGGGAGGGTGGGAGGAAGGGAGGGGGAGGGACGAAGGAAGAGGGAAAACGCCAGGAGAGAAGGAGCGAAGAGGGGGGGCGGTTTATTAGAGGCAGAGAGACAGAGAGAGAGAGAGAGAGAGAACGAGAGAGAGATAAGGGAGATAGAGAAAAGAGAGAGAGAGAGAGGGGAGAGAGAAAGAGGGAGGGAGGAGGCAGGAGAGGGGATGGAGAAGTGAGGTGGGAGAGGGGATAGGGCAGAAAGGCAGATGGATGAGGGAAGGCAGGAGGGAAAGAGAAGGGAGGAGAGGAGGGAGGAGGGAGAGGGAGCAGCAAGAAGGTAAGAGCGTGACAATTCGAGGAAGTCCTAAGCGAAAGCGCCGTTCCTAAAGGAAGTCTCGGGCGGGAACCCACGACGGGCGGGCGATCCCCTGACGGGCGGGTCGGGCGGGTGGGACATTCAAGCGGGATGCCTGAGTATGGCGAGAGCGCGATTCCTCTGTAAATTGTGACGGTGTCCTTGGCGCAGCGTGTTTCCTGAGCGTCGAAAGCGCGATTTTTGAATACATTGCATGGAAGTCACAGGCGATAACGCAGTTCCTGCATAAAACAAGGGTTCTCTGGCGGGAGCGGGGGTCTTGATTGAATTGCAAGGAAGTCTTGACTTACTTGCGAGGAGGTCTCAAGCGGGAGAGCCGTTCCTGAGTAACTTGTGAGGAAATCTCAAGTGGGAGCGGGGGTCCTGATATAATTGCGAGGAAGTCACAGGCGGGCGCACCGATCCTGAGTAAATTGTAAGGAAGTCTCAGGCGGGAGGGGCGGAGATCCTGAAGAAACTTGGAGGAAGTCTCAGGCGGGAGCCGATGTTGTTGTTGTTGTTGCTGTTGTTGTAATCCGGGGTGCCAGGGGCCCAATTTGAGCACGAAGACTTCCCCTGTCAGAAAACAGGGTGCGAGCGTCGAAGGGCACACTTTGATTGAGAAAGAACAGTATGCACCGGTAAGGGGGGATCAACACACATTAGTCTTCAGAAATGAAAGTTCAACAAGAACAGCAACAGCAGCAGCAGCAACAACAACACCAACACCAACAACAGCAGCAGC